TATTGCTGACGAGTGACGACCAGCAAGATAGTATAATATAGATTATAGGTACTTTCTGACGACTCAACGACTGTGATTGTTTAGTGAATTCGTGATCCAGCTCGACGGTATCATATTATTATGCTGAAAACTTGGAACAATAATAAAATAAAATAGGCAATCTGGTAATTAATTCAGTACCTGTGGCAACAATTAAGGTCGATGGCAAATCATATGCTCTTAATTCTGTGATTTTCCATCATGGTCCATCTATGACTCTCAAGTCTCAAACCCATTACACATCAGTTATTAAACATAATAATAAAATATGGGTTATATGTAAGTATGTAACGATATAATATTTATATTCTAGTTTTTAAAAAAAAAACTAAAATAGAAAAAAGATATGACAACAGGAGGCCAACGATGCATATGCTATTATGGATTACTATTATTATATTCAGTAAAATAAAATTGCTACTTATTTCATAAAAGAAAATAGCTGATATCACACCAAAAACACTTCGTTATAACTCCGTGTAAAAAAAGCTAAGTTAAAAAAAAAAATTTAATCATGATTAAATCTTTAAAAGACGTGATATAATATGGAAATTAAGTAAAATTACATTTTATAATATTACAAATACCTATGATGACAAATAAGATCAATTGTAATGTTAAATACTTAACAACATATTATGTTTAACTATTTGGCAGGACGCAGAAGTATACTTAAATAAATACAATTAAGTAATCACTACAGTATTTACAGTAATTAATAATGTATCAACAATATGTTGACTAAGTATTTAACATTACAATTGATCTTATTTGTCATCATAGGTATTTGTAATATTATAAAATGTAATTTTACTTAATTTCCATATTATATCAAGTCTTTTAAAGATTTAATCATGACTAAATTTTTTTTTAACTTAGCTTTTTTTTTACAAGGAGTTATAACGAAGTGTTTTTGGTGTGATTGTAAATAACGTAAAGCAGAATTTTTTTTTCAAATGCAAGCCTTGGGCTTGATTTACATTTACAATAACAATATGATGCACATAGCACTTGCACATACGCAACATGTTGTAACATAATATAATATATTAATTAGTAATAGTATTACAGTTAAATGTATAAATAAATGCACAAATAAAAATATTTCAAACCTAATAATTCCATTAAGTACTTTGGAAAGTGTAGAAGCCCCGTGGTTTAGTAGGAGCCAGGAGGTCGACCAGTGGAGTTTCCACTTAAACAAATACGCTCTGAATTCTTGTCAGAAGGGTAACACGATTTTAAATAATATAGAAACCAGTGTTTGATGTATGACGCGAGAGCGTCGAGGTTGGTTTATTGAAAAAATACAATTAAATAATTCAGTTAAACAATAAAATTTCGTACGCAGTATGAAATATACATGAGTGCGCGTATAATATGCGCAAAACGGACGAGGTACAAAAAAAGCATACAGCGAAGGTGTGGACTCGGAGCGTCACGATCGAGCGCAGTGAGAGAAGAGAACGAGACTTTCACGGCTTACGGCGTCGTAACAATCGTAGCGCGGGCCGGTGCCGCCGACCGTAGAGGGAGCGAGATCGATGGTTATACAAAGAACATAAATATAAATAACATGGAGGTCGTATAGAAAATAATACAAAAACGAATATAATACAATATAATAATTAGAATATAAAATTAAGGCGCGAGTGGCGTAATATGTGCGCTAGTGGTGATAAGAACCAGGTATCGCCACAGTACATTTCAAAATGAACAGACACAGGAACGGATAGTGCTTTTAAAACTAACAATATAAAGAATATAAAATTAGTCTTTAATAACAGAATTTAGCTGAGGGTCGCAACATATTATGTACCGGAGTCAGGAACCAGCTTGACTTAAAAAATTGAATCAATTAATGATTTAATTTTTAACGCTATTCATTAGTATATAATATCCTTCTATGGATTTTTAAACCATCTGGCCGAGAATACACTTTATCACAGATTTGCCATCTATACGACTTCCCCAGCATGAAGTTTCCTCATATGGACTTTTAAACTCCGTGTGTGAGAATAACATTTGTCACAGTTGACACATTTATATGGTTTCTCCCAAGTATGTACCGTTGAATGGGATTTTAAATGTTCTGCTCGATAAAAAAATTTTCCACATATATTGCATTTATATGGTCTTTCACCAGTATGTATCCTCGAATGGGTTTTTAAATTTCCTGCTCGAGAAAAAAATTTTCCACAGATATTGCATGAGTATAACTTCTCACCTGTATGTGTCAATCTGTGGGATCTTAAATTTGATGAATATTTAAATAATTTATCACATACATCACATTTAAATGGTCTCTCTCCGGTATGTAGCCTCGCGTGGATATTTAAAGATTTCGCATGAAAAAATCGTTTATCACAGACATCACACTTATATAGCTTTTCATCAGCATGTGTCTCTTTATGGATTTTTAAAGCGTATGCTTCATTATATTCTTTATCACAGATATTACAATTATATACATTTTCTCTGGTATGGGACTTTATATGACTCTTTAAATGTGATTTGTAATAATATGATTTATTACATATGGCACAGATGTAAAACCTTTCTCTTTCACTGGAATGAAACTTTATGTGCCTTGTCAAAAGTTCATTTGAAACAAATGATACATTGCAGATGCTACAATTATTATGATGATCACTCTTAGTATGAAATTTTTTATGGACTTGAAATTTATTTGAATTAGAAAATTCTTCGCCACATACTTTACAGGTTAAATGCTTGTTTTTTGAGTTAGATCGGTTATCCGAATTCATATGAGGAATGAATTCTGAAGAGTAACTATCGTACAAAACTGTTCCTTCAAATTCATTAATTCCGATAAAATCTTTTTCTGTTTTAATTTTGGTATCAATTGTGTTTACTCCTTTTTCAGTTTTTATTTCTTTTTCAGTTTTAATTTTGGTATCAATTGTGTTTACTCCTTTTTCAGTTTTTATTTCTTTTTCAGTTTTTATTTTGGTATCAATTGTGTTTACTCCTTTTTCAGTTTTTATTTCTTTTTCAGTTTTTATTTTGGTAACAATTGTGTTTATTCCTTCTTCAGTTTTACAAACAGTTCTGAAAAAATGATTTTAGAAATGAATATTATTTGGGTACAAAAATTATTATTTTATTAATTCAAATTTAATTTGTATTGTTGGTATAAGTTTATATCAACAAGGAGATGGAAGATTTAAATATAATTGTATATACTTTTTGTTATTAAACACATTTCTATTACATTTAATCGTGTGTTTAAGAATGAGTTAAATCAGCTCTGTGCAAAGCATATAAATAAATAACTAATCATTGAGCGAATAAAGATGCAATGCATTAAAATTAGAGATGTAAGGTTACATTTTCTGAATATTATTTTTTTCACAATTAATTTTTAGATTCTGAGCGGAGCAAGGAAGCTAGTGGTTTTACAATGGTGTTTATTTTTTTTTATATATCCTGTATACAAAATTTCTACCAGAAGGAGTGCTTTGATTTCAACATATAGTACCTTATCTTTTAGCAAATTGGACCAAGATGGTACTTTAGAGAGGTCATTTTTCGATTTTCTCAATAGTTATTTAATGCCACGGGGAAAAGTACTGAAAAATTACGAAAAACCGCTTAAAATGGGATTTTAATTTCTAACAATTTGTTTATCACCGTAGCAACGAATAAAAAAAAGGCAGGTAAGTGGATGTAGCTCAGCTGTACAGTAGGTTACAAGTTGGTCATTGTTTAATGGATTGAATTAAACTTGAATTCAATGATATAATATCATTGTATAAGAAAAACGATTCTGAACGGAGACGGTTTGTCAGTCTGTATATTTTAAATTGTCATTAATTATTTTATTTATTTAATTATTATTTTTTTTTATTCGTTGCTACGGTGATAAACAAATTGTTAGAAATTAAAATCCCATTTTAAGCGGTTTTTCGTAATTTTTCAGTACTTTTTCCCGTGGCATTAAATAACTATTGAGAAAATCGAAAAATGACCTCTCTAAAGTACCATCTTGGTCCAATTTGCTAAAAGATAAGGTACTATATGTTGAAATCAAAGCACTCCTTCTGGTAGAAATTTTGTATACAGGATATAAAAAAAAAAATAAAAAAATAAACACCATTGTAAAACCACTAGCTTCCTTGCTCCGCTCAGAATCTAAAATAATTAATGACAATATAAAATATACAGACTGACAAACCGTCTCCGTTCAGAATCGTTTTTCTTATACAATGATATTATATCATTGAATTCAAGTTTAATACAATCCATTAAACAATGACCAACTTGTAACCTACTGTACAGCTGAGCGACATCCACTTACCTGCCTTTTTTTAGAATGTACGGTTGGTTTATTAGTTAAATGTTAATTATTTAATTAGGAATTAAAGAACTGTGAATATGAACTCAAATTAATTATAGTAACCTATATACACTATACATGTTCAATAAAACATATTTATCAATTATAAATAGTTGTGATTTGTGGTCTGTGTTAAAACTAGGTACAATGTTATTTTTAATAACTATTAATTCCTCTTAAAAAGTAGTTAGTTTAAGACTATGAAAATAACGCAAACAAAAATGGAAAAACCCATAAACCCTAAGTCTACTTCTGATCTAAATCCACCTGAAGATACTGACCAGCAAATGAAGCTCAGATCTACTAACAATCCATCTAACAAAAGCCTTTGAATAATCCACCTATACGTTCACCTCAGTATCGACTGATTAATTCAATCGAGTAATTTCGGGAATGCGTAAGACTCAGAATGCTACTTTAGCTCAATGTAAGGCTTTATCCCTCTCATTCAACAAAAAATGTAGCAAACTTCAATCTAGTGTCGACTCACTAGCTTCTCAAATTGTTGACATAATAGCTGATATACCTACCTTCGTAACACCTTTCTGCTCTCAACGATAGGATACGTGTCATTGTATCTGATGTATGTAAATCAACCATCTCATCTGGCGACAACATTCCTCAGCTTCTTCAAGAATTGTCTTCGAGAAAAATGCTCACTTAATTTCATTGTACGTGGACTTATTGAATCTTCTGCTGCTTTAACGGCTGGTCGTTTATTTGAAGACTTATAACATCTGTCTGATTCTATTCTACTGCTCTCTATGTCTCTGCCTCCGAATGTGAAGATGATCAGGTTGGGTAGCACAATCAGCAAGAACCCTAGTCCATTAAAAGTAAAGTTTCTATTAAAAATTGTTCTCCTCCGGTTAAAAAGAGGGACTTTGTAACCGACATGCATTCTTGCGGTGCTACGGACCCCTATTGTTGGTGTCTGTGGTTCGTGATAGTACATTAATGGAGAGGCAGCAAGTACATCAGGTTTATGCTGAATTAGAAAAGCGTAAGAAAAACGGCGGAAACAATATAGTTGTCGGTCATTTCAGCGGCGTACCTTCTATTGTCCAGGCAAGACAAGGATTTTCCGTTCAACAATTCTACCAATCGTCACATTACTCCTCCGAAAAACTAACCAGCTTAAATGATAAACTAAGTACCTGTTGCGACGTTGATCCTCGACGTTTTCATGTCGTGCCTCTGTCTTCGTGCCACGTTTGTAAGTTATCAATTAATACATGTAGCGATTTTTTAGATTTTGTAAACTGTTTTAAAAATAATAATCCGCTTGATTCTAATTTATATAATTTAAAAACTTTCTATCAAAATGTTAGTAGATTAAAAACTAAATAATTTAATTTTAGATGTTTAATTCCCATTTTAAATTGTCATGATGTTATCTTCACAGAAATGTGGTTCTCTCCTGATGTCCATGACTTTGAACTAGGACCAAATAGGCAATCAAATCTTCAGGGTTCTCAATGTTTATACAATTGTCGTTTTTCTATTGCTTTTCCAACTTATTAACCATTTAGGCAATCTTTAGACTTAGGCATTTACCCTAGTCTGGAAAAATACCATCTAAAGCTCCAATATTAAAATCTGGTGACCCATCTGATGTCCAAAACTTCAGACCCATTTCCATAATACCACATATTGGTAAATTATTAGAATTAGTTGTATACATCAGAATAGAGCATAGCTTAAATCATATATAAGTGAACAGTATAGTGTTGCTTTCACTTCTTATTTGTCAGAAGTTAACAAACACCGAGGTCAGCTTGATGTCATTTATACAGATTTCAAAAAAAAAATTCGACACAGTGGACTGTGGTTGCCTTATAATGGTAACTAAGTCTTTCGGCATTGGAAATTCCCTTCTTTGTTGGTTGTACACTTACATCACTAGCATAAAATAATTTGTAAAAATCTAAGATGTCTCTGACTTTTCCGTGATACCATCTTGGTGTCCCTCAGGGAGGTCACTTTAGTCTACTTCCATTTATTTTATTTGTTAACTCAATCACTAAGTGGATCACTTCTTCTATTTGTAGTAGACTTAACAATTTTCCTCAAAATCTATTCGTAATCAATATCAGGTCTTACAATATGAACTCAATATTTTTGCAAATTGGGGACGCAGTACTTAATATAAACTAATGTCACGTTATGTCTTTTCCTAGAAAGCGGTCTTCTATCCACCATAATTATTCTTTTAATGGGACTGTTCTTGACCGTGTTTCCCTTTATAAAGATCTTGGTAATTATTATATTGAAAATATAATCATATTTTAATCATTAACATATTTTCATTATAAAAATGTCATTAAAGGTAAAGCTTTAAAATTCGGGATTTATTGTGAGCGCATACCAAACAGTTTTCGTATGCTCGTTGTCTCTGCACATTATATTTCTCGTTAGTACGTTCAATAATAGAATATGTAGTATGGCATCCTTACTTGGTTAAAGATAAATTAAGACTCGAGCGTGTCCAAAATAGGTTTCTTTCCTACATTGCACATATTATGAAGATAGTACACCCTCCTCATGATTATTCCTTATTCCGTAGTAAATTGGAAATACCACTACTATCATCAAGTCGACAAGATGTTGATGAGCACTTTATAACCTCGCTCATAGGTGGGACACGATAGATGCTCCTGATCTCCTCTCCGACGTAAGTCTTTGTTGTACCCCTTTCTTCTTCTCCAAAAATCAGTCCCTCTTTTAAGTACCGACCCACAACACATCCTATGGACACAATCACTCCTTACATAGAATGCTCCGTAAACTAAATAATGTTAATTTTTAATATTTAATAAACATATTAGTTCTAAGCTGTACTATATCACTATATTACACTATTATGTTTATATTGAGTTGTATTTTCTTATAAGTTCTGTTTTACTGTGTTATAATTTATAAACATTTACTACCTACTTATATGTTAAATTTCAAATGTAGTCATAAAATTGCCGATTGGCGTTTATAAATTAATACAAATGTTTGATAATTTATAAAAAAAAAATGCACATTTTTTACTGCGACAAATTAATTTGTATTTTGAATTATCTATATTATTACCTATGTCCAATAGAATAATATTAAAATTGGTCAATGGTAATACAAGTGTCAAGTATACATTTTTAATGGAACTAGGTAGGTTAAATATACTACAACTATTTAATATTAAGAGGACGTGATACCCGCATGTGATGTCTCCGCCTTACAAGTGCATAACATAGTAAATTTTACGCTCAGCAAAACACGTGTAGCTCCATTGCCGCCGCTAGGGGAGGACAAATGGGACATTTTTCCAGGGCCCCGCGCTTGTTAAAGGGCCCCGTGATTTTTAATTATCATCTTAATACGAATACCGTGAGACACATTGACATTTTATATCAACCAATTATAAATCTATATTATGCCTATCACCAGTTATTTGGAAAACAATATCTAAATTTAGCCATAGTACAAACTATACAGAGTAAATCGTTATCGATACAACGAAAGCGTAATATTTTGACGATACCCGTCAAGTAGGATTCCTACTATAGTCTATAAATAATAATATAAATATTTATGATCTCTATGGTTATTGTTTTCTTTGTTCTTTATTTGGAAAGGCTTTCCGCGTATTGTATGCCCGTATCGCCGTATTGTAGAAGGGGACAAAGCTATATTCTTAAAATATTTATTTGATTATATAACATAAATTCAGTTGGTCATTAATTGAGTATTAATTGACCGCAGTACGCTTTGTGCAGTTCCTGTATTTTTTCAAAATTTTCTGCATATCACAAGAATAAGTTTTTATTTTATGAAATTATTATTACACTTAAGTTTAGAACTTAAGTATTAGCCGTATTAAATATAGGTACTGCGTGAGTATCTACAGTGTATCAGGAATCAGGATTAGTTTTAATATTTATTGTCTACCGTCGTATATTGCATTATTCTGCCTGCCGCGGTCGCGTACTTAGATATTAAACAATTTATTATTTTATTCAAACATTTTGATGAATTAATTTATTTTTAATTGATGATTTTATGTAGTTGTTAAAATAAATGTTAATTAATAAAATAACCAGCCCTTATGAATTTATTAGCCTACGATTTTCCACTCAAAGGTTTAACTGAAACTCACGCTACGCCACTAATTCTGTGCTGAGCGAGGTTTCATCAGGAGGAATCGCACTAGAATGTGTGGTCTCCGTTTACACAAGTAGGTAAGGTAAAATGGGGTAAGTGTGACGCAAAAATGAAAAGTTAATTTTGAATTTGACAATACTGTTTTTGTTTTTAACTTAAAGTTGTTATTGTTCCATAATGTAACACCTCTAGATATACATAATTGGAATTTATAGTCAACAAAGTTATATTATCACTCACCTAAGAATAATTTTTTTTTTTTTAATTTTAAAACGTCACACTTGCCCCTTTTCATGGGGCAAGTGCAAAATCGGATTGTTTTTGCTATTAGTATTACATAAAATTATATATGGAGCAAGTGAATAACAAAGATAAAAATAAGCTTTAATTTGATTTTTGTTTCATTAAAATATCTTGATTCATTAAGAATTGACAGAGCATTATTTAAATTTAATTATTTACCTTATATAGAGATATCAAAATCAATAAATTATGAAGAAGTCATCAATGCCTTTGCTCAGAGTAAATCGAGAAAAAAATATTTTAATATAAAATTAATATGTTCTTACTTCAATTAAATATTTATATATTGTTGTTGTATGTACCTAATTAGTTATTATTTTATTATTTGTAAATAATTTTGTGTTAAAATAAAGAATAAGAATAACCTAATATTATTAAAGTGTTTAAAATTCGACGAAAAACAGTACTTTTTTTAAAATCCTGATTTAAAAATAGCTAAAATTTCACCCCTCTGAGAACCTAAAGGCTATTACCTATGTCCAGGGCCCCGCAATACCTAGCGCCGGCACTGTGTAGCTCAGTTAATTTAAAAATTAGATTAAATTAACCTCTTATCTAAAGTTAAGATTATTATCTAAATACCTCATGGGCTTTTTAAAATAGTTTAAGTTCTAAGCTAGTTATGAGTACTTTAAGATCTATTAACAATTTACAATTTTAAAATACTCATAGCTCGCTTAAAAAATAAAATATAATAAAGAGCCCATAAGGTTGTCTAGATAATAATCTTACCTTTAGATTTTATAAGAGGTCAATTCACTCTAATTTTTAAACCAACGGAGCTACACGTGTTCTGCTTTGGGTAGAATTTGCTATGTTACGCACTTGCAAGACGGAGACAACAAATGCGGGTATCACGTCCTCTTAAGGGATTTATGCCCGTATGCATAGTCATGTATGTGTCACATAAGACGTGTTAAACTATGCCTCATGTGACACATGAAATGTACTATGTTTGACATTATTTAATAAGAAATTAATACAAAAAAAATTAAAACTTTTTTTAAAATTTACATCACTAATTAAAATATATACTCAGATAGACTCAGATACTACACAAAATCTAGTTCAATCAGTTGAATTTTCTATACCTAGTATTAAAAAAGAACATATATTTTAATGTTATACGATTTATTAAAATCTTAGTATTGGACTTTTAGGGAAAAATGAACCTGTTTTAGATTCTGAGTGGAGCGATGAATGTATTGGTTTCACAATGTGTTTTTTTTACAACTTCAATATCTTTTCTGATGGGAAGTAAATCTAGTTGGCGTTTTTTTTTATTCTGATTCTATTCATAAATTTAGTTCAAAACAAGAACATTTTTACATTTCTATTAAATAATATCCTAAATAATGTATTTATATTTGTAAATAGTGTTCATAAGTGTAATTTATAAAATTAAGAAACATTTAAATACTTGTCTCCCCTCAAGCTCAGGCTTTTGGA